CCATGTCAAAGAGGTTTTCTTGCTGCAACACCATTGAGTGCAGAGATGCATGTTTTCTATGTGCTTGTATTCTATCCAGGAGACTGTCTCCCCACTCTACCATCTTATAATCTTAGGCCATGTGTAGATGAAATGAGAGGTATGTGTGCAGGACACTTTAAAGCAGGCTAAATGCTTTTGCACTGCTTTAACAGTGTAGGTGTTTGTGTGCCTCAGCGGCGTATTGCTCATTAATTTCACCTGTGGTGGGAAATTCTGCGGCATAATGTGCCTTAAATGACTTGGGGTGCGGCAAACTAAAACTCCTTCTCAGAACAGGCAAAGCCTCAGAAAAAGCAGGGAAGTCTTAGTAATGGAAGCTTGCCACTCAGTACAATAGCCAGAGAGGTGAGTTATAGCCAAAGGCTAAATGATTTTTTAAATAAAAAAATCCCCTTTTCCCAAAATGATGCAGCTTAAATGTAACAAATGCTTTAGCAGAAGGCCTTGGTGAAAGGCCTGTGGTTCTGTTGCTGGACCAGATGGTCAACTCAATTGCTATCACCCTGGATACAGTAGTGATATAGTACAACTCTCTGCTGTCCTACCTGTCCAAAGTAAGGGAGCCCTCTTTTGTAGTAGCGATCCATGTTCTCAAACCGCACACTGCCCAGCACCTGGGTTATGGGAACGTAGGCAGAGTCTGAGATTTGCACACCTGTGAGACAGACCCGAGGTGAAGATGAGGCATAATTAGTCTTGAATTTAACTTGCCTTGAATCCAGTCAAATTACCCAGCCAAGTATTTCCCTTGGAGATGAACCTATGTATATTAAATGGATCTTTTCTAGCAAATGAACCTTGGGCTGGGCAGCCAGAAATTCAACTCATGGAGCACCAAACTGCAGAATGCTCTTGCAAAATCCTCTTCCCCAGCCATGCCCCATCCTCCTTCCTGAGTGGCTGGGAAGCTTTACCTGTTCCTTTCTCTGTGACAGTTGCTTTCACATCCAGGCTCATCCAGTATCCAGAACGACTGAGCTCAAAGATCTTGGAGCTGAAGACCTGAGAGAGGCAGCCATCCTTGTTCAGCTGAAGAGCAAGGAAACAGAGTTGGAATTAAGGGGGAGAGGGGGGCGGAGGAAAAAAAAAGAAAAAACAGTTCTTATTGTGGTTAGGAGAATGTAATGAATTTGCCAAACAATAGCATGATGGCTTTGTCTGGTGACCAGATATGACATCAGTGTTCCTGTGTAATAACCCACAGTATACAACATACATATGGCTTAGCTACTAGGTCTCTTCTTCTAGATAAAGGTCCTTCCTTACACCTTGGGCTCACATCTACTGTTGACTCCCTGGGGTAGTGCCTCATGCCTGGAAGTTTGTGACTTAGAAAGCCTGGCACACAGGCTTTGCATCAAGCTCTGGTCTGTCTTAACCCTGGAGGGCAGCAATGGAGGGTGTGGGAAGAATACTGCCTTTGGGTGGGATTCAGAAAGCAGTTATTTTAGCTGCTTCTGAGGGGGAAGTATCTCATGGCCCTGTGCAAGGAGTTGAAGATAACTCAGGGCATATCTACATGGTGACAGCACTGTGCCACCTTGGGGACTACCACCCCCTACCCACCCTGCTTCCACTGGTATACCCCAAACCCAGAGAGGCTGCTTGGGGGTTGTCCTTCTGAATCTGCTCGCAAGATCTAGGGCCCACACTGCTGCCGCAATGTAGGCATGACTCTGATCTCCTAGCCAGCATCCCCTCTCCCTATAAAACAGGTTATAATACCCTGGGTTGCATGAGAATTACAGATGAATGTATAATGATTGAACATTCAATACACCTTCCCTCTTCTTCCCTAATATTAATACAATGTAGGATAATATTTGACCCACAGTACTTCTGTCTAGACTGTGGCTACTCATTATGATGACTGGAAGCCTACACACACAAGGACACTTCAGATTAGATAAATATTCAACCAGTAGATATGTAGACCAACTCCCCTACAATCCTAAATAATACAGGGAAGAAAGTTGTATTAGGCCCATGCATTCTATATCAGGAATATTCTTGGCACCTGAAAGAATCCAACACTATCACAAATCACTTCAAAAAAAGTTGTGGATCAAAACTGGTTAAAGTACCATTAGTGTTCATTTGTCAAGACAGGGTAGAGAAGGCTAGCAATTGCAGCAGTAGCCATATGCAGGCTTATTATTAAGACTGGGTATTTGACTGGACAAATAAAGTTCAGCCAACTGACCGGTCAGATATCAGTCAAAAATTGTGAAAAATTGCCAATAGGTCCAAATAATACACAGAAAAAGCACAAATTTTTCATTAAGAAATGTGTAAAAAACAATTAAAAAAATCGTATTTCTGCCAAGAAAACTATAAGAAAATGTAGGGTTTTTTTGTAAACTTGCTATAAGCTTTGACCAGTTAAAAACATTCTGTCAATTAGCTAGTCAATTGGCAATATTTGACTGGTTAATTGCCTGGCTTGCCAACCCTAATTATTATTAATGTTATTAACATATAATGATACTACTACTACTATTAATGTACCTGTCTTTCTTATGGTATTTCCATCAGCAAAAAACACTTAAAAGGAGGTCAGTGTCATTTTCCCATGTTACAACTGAGGAAACTGAGGTACAAAGAAGCAAAGTGACTTGCATAAAATTGCAGCACAACCAACGGCAGAACTTAAAATTGAACCCAATTTTCTTGAGTGCCAGGTCACCACTCTGTTCATTAGAAAAAAAGTAAATGGGGGAGTGGAAGGAAGAAAGAAGAAATCATAGTGAAAAGGAAGAGAGACTTGAAGGTAGGAGTGTGCCAGTCTCTTTTGTATCACCACTGTTTATCATACTTGTTTGGTTACAGCCTGACAGATTGGGTCCTTCTTGCATGCCCCGTACAAATTGAAATTCCGGCATACACTGAGCTGGATGGTTCCCTCAACAGGCTGGCCATAGGTGTACCTAGCAGACGAGGAAACACAGCAATAGAATATTACTATGAGAGTAGTAAAGCATTCAAACAGGCTACACAGAGGAACTATGGAAACTCCATCCTTGGAAGTTTTCAGCAGCTGGTTAGATAAACACTTGGCTGGGATGGTTTTAGTCAGGGATGAATCTGCCGTGAGCAGAGGGCTGGACTACATGACCTTGTGAAGTCCCTTCCAGCCTTGCTTTCCTATGATTTTCTGATCCCAATACAAACTCAAGAGGCCACTCTTAGATAATGTATCAGGCATACAGCTAAGAAGTGCATGGGGCCAGGAAAGCCAGAGACTGGAGTAATTTCATAGGCTTTCTCTCCTGAATCCTAAAGAAAGGTCAGTTACTTGCAAATTGCAACTGTGAGGATTTTCATGCCAGCATGTGCAACTCCTGCTGCATGCCTGCAAATGTGGCAGCTGAGTTTATTTCCTGAGGCCTTGATTGCCCAAACCTCCTAATAAAATATCCTGTTATCTCCTCAGCCAGGACAGTCTGTTTCCCAGAAGGGGCCTGAAAACATCAGTTTCTTGTTGTTTTGCACCCCTCTCTGCACACAGGTGCCTTCCTTTCCCCTTTGCTCTCTTTCCTTTCTCCTTCTCTGCCTGTTCTTTTTTCATCTATTTTCCTCCTTCCAAATGTATTGATTGAACACTTTCTTTGCCTCACCCATTCTCTCTCATAGTGCCAACCGTTCTCCTTTCTCTGCAGCTCCATAGTAGCAGTAGTCCATTCACATTTCCCCACATACCAGAGGTTGTGCTAGAGGCAGTAGGACTATTGTAGGCTGCAGCCATGTTCATGGAAGCTACTTCCATCCCATCATGGACTATTAAGAGTGGGGAGGACAAGCAAGTGGTTATCAAAGAGCACATGGATCTAGGTCCATAATCTTCCCCTGTTTGCACTGATCCTGTCCTTTGACCCCCTAAATGCTGGTTTAAAGATACTTGCTTCTCTCTTCATCAGTTCATTAACTCCTCAGTCTATTCTAAACCTCCTACACTTCTCATCTCTTTTCCTGGAGATACTGGACATGTATACTAGAGCTGTGCAAAATTTCAGCAGCCATTTCATTTTGGAGGGGTTTTCGCCCATTTTGGTGCCTGAAACACTGAATCTGAAACTAAATGGAAGGCTCCGAAACTAAACAAAACCATCCAAAATGTTTTGGGAGATGTTTTGGATGTTTCAGAGTCGGGCTTGCACGAAACAGAAACTACGAAGAAGGAAGGGGAAGAGGAGTGGGAGGACTGCTCTCATATCTCATATACAGATGGATCACAAGCAGGTCCAGCGAGGTGATCCTTCCCATCTATGCAGTGCTAGTCAGGCCGCAGTTGGAATACTGCATCCGGTTCTGGGCACCGCACTTCAAGAGGGATGTGGCTAACCTTGAAAGGGTCCAGAGGAGGGCCTCTAGCATGATCAGGGGGCAGCAGGCCAGGCCCTGTGAAGATAGACTAAAGGGCCTGAATCTATTCAGCCTCCACAAGAGGACACTGAGAGGGGATCTGGTGGCCATCAATAAACTCACTGGAGGGGAACAGCAGAAAATAGGTGAGGCTCTGTTCCCCAAGGCACCACCTGGGATAACAAGGAATAACAGCCACAAATTGATTGAGAGCAGGTTCAGGCTGGATATCAGGAGGCATTACTTTATGGTTAGGGCTGCCATGCTCTGGAATGGGCTCCCAAGGGAGATGGTGCTCTCCCCTAACTTGGGGGTCTTCAAGAGGAGGTTGGACAGATATCTGGCTGGGGTATTATGATCCCAGCACTCATTCCTGCCCAGGGCAGGGGGGTGGACTTGATGATCTGTTCAGGTCCCCTCCGACCCTAGAAACTATGGAACTATTGACTGTGTAGCTGGCCAGTGTCTGCGATCTGTCCCTAGGTCCCTTCCAATTCCAGTGCTCTGGGGGAGGGATGGCAGCCTGCTGTCATATCATGCGCAGATCCAAGGGCCCAAGCCCCCCGGGAGGAATCTGGCACAGCCCAACAGCCCTCCCAGGGGGTGCGGGCCCCCAGATCTGCGTGTGGGATGACAGCAGGTTGTCGCTGCCAGCTGGGGACAGCACCAGCACCCGAGTCTGCTCAGTGCACTCCGCACCAAGCACAGCCGGGGGAGTCATGGGAGAAGCCGCCATTGCTGCCCTGCCCAGCCCCAACCCCTGCCTAGCCCAGCCATCCAGGTCTTAAAAAAAAAAAAAAAAAGCCCCACACTCACCGGGTGTAGCAGGGGCTGTGGGGCCATGTGGCAGAGCCTCCTGCACAGGCCCCGCTCCCCAATCTCCACCCCTGTGCTGAGCCCCATCCCTGATGGCACCTCCCCACTCAGCCTGACCATGCTGGCATTTAAAAAAAGAAAAAAAAAGAGAAGCCCCACACTCACCAGATTCAGTAGTGGCAATCAGGGCCTCTGAGGGCTCATGGCAGAGCCCCCATGCAGTGCGGGGCAGTGGGGATCACCCCCCTACCTGGCACCCACATGGAAGATGCCCCATGGTGTGGGTGCAGTGTGGCTCAGCAGGGTGCTGTGTGCTGTCTGGGAGCTGGGGCCGCTGGGACTGAGTGCTGCCCGGCTCCAGCCCACTACTGGACCACCCCAAATCCCAGACAGTGCACAGCGCTCTGCTGAGCCGCGCTGTACCTGCGCCATGGGGCAGCTGCCGCACAGGTGCCAGGTGGGGAGGGGAGATCCCCGCTGCCCCCTACTGCCCTGTGCTGCATGGGGGGGGTGCTCTACCACAAGCCTTCAGAGGCCCTGATCACCACTGCTGGAGCCGGTGAGTATGGGGCTTTTTTTTTTTAAGTGCCAGGATGCTAGGGCTGGGCGGGGGATGATGGTGGGCAGGGAAGCCATGGGGGCTTCTCCTGTGGCTTTTCCCACCCAGGGAGAGGCAGGCACAGCCAGACAAGCTGTGGGAGAATCTGCAGCTGCCCAGCTGTCCTTGCCTCTCCCCGGCTGATCCGAATCTTCAAAACAGCATTGAAACTCCAAAACAGATTTGGCCGAATTGAAATGGAGCAGTGATCTAAAACATCAAAATGAAATGTCCTCTGAAATGGCCAAATCCGAAATTGAAATGAGACACAGCCGTTTCACACAGCTCTAACGTATACATGTGCAATGTTACTGTAGCATTTTGCTGTGGTGACATAGCGTCACATGTTGATATGCCTAAAGGAAAAGTAACCATGGAGTTGTCCAGACCTGAGGACCTTCCACGCTGGAGTGCATGGACATTTATTACATATATTTTGTAATGGAGGAGGTAGGAAGATCACAACTGTGGGGCAAGAGGGGAAGTTGGCCTGGTGCTAGAACTACTCCCTGGGCAGTAAGGTTCAGGGGGTGGAAAGTTTGTCCACAAAGAACAGAAGGGGAGGGGAGAGGACACTGCATCCTGGGATGCTGCAGAACTGCAACAGATGGGCAGCTAATCTGTGGGCAGTGGCCACACATTAGTTTTAGGTGTTAATGAACTGCAAAACTAGTTTCAGATGTTAATATGTGGACAATCCAGGGGTTAAGAGCTTCAGGAGCTGCCTAAAATTAATGTGTAACAAGGCTCTAACTTAGATCAGTTTCACCAGACCTGAATTAACTGAACTTCTATACAGTTCCCACTGCAGCCCTGAGGCTCAGAAAGCCCAGCGGTTGGCTCCAGCCCCTGGGCTGTGCTTTTCTTATGACCTCCTACCACTGGCACTGGGGCATTTTTAGCTCCCCAGCCACTTGCCTCACCCACAGACAGACAACCCCTGCCCACCCTGCCAAGTCTGCTAAACTTTCTGATCCTGCAAGCCGCTCCCAGTGCTGGTTTTACCAGCATTTACTGCTGCCAGAATTCAAGGAAGTTGGGGTGGGGGGGAGGGAAGGGGTGAAATAAAGGTTGGTTGCCTGGTGGGGGCTTTTTCATCTAAAAATAGCCTCTTGTCCGGGGGGATGAGAGATCTCCCTCATCCCACCAAGCCCCTGCATGGAGACGCCAGCCCCCACCAATCCACCCCCCCACCCTGACCTACTTCCACCAAGTTCCTTGGGGTGGTGAATACCAGTAAAACAGGCCCTGGGAGCATTTTGTAGGATTGGGGGCAGTTTGGTAGTATCAGGCAGGTCCAGGTGGAGTGGGGTCCTAGCAGGGTTTGGGGGGATTGGAGAGCCTCTCTGTTCCCACTCCCCCACCTGATCCCCCAACTCTCCTCCCCCATGTACTCTGCTAGCCCCTCAATCATGCCAAAACCTTCTGGATCCCACCCTCTCCTCGATCCCTCCAACTCACCCACAGACCCCACTTGCCTCCACAATCCCTGAAATTCCCCAGTGGATCCCACTAGCCTTCCCCCCGACTATCCCTCCAAGGCTCCCTGCGAGCCTTCCATCCTGACTTATCTTAGATCTGGTGGCCATTTTTAACTTGATCTAACTTTCCCCTAACCTCCCTCAATGTCTGTACATACCCACTGAAGTCAACAGCCATGCTCCCAGCCCCAAATCCATTCCACTTATTATGCTCCTAATGGTGGTCCTATTCCACCCTGTTTTAGCCCCTGAAAAATCCATCAGTGTATCTATTTCTGTAACAGGCCATCATCTCAGTCATAAGAAGCAACAGAGAAGACAAACACCCACCCACCCACGTGTTTTGTTACCTGTTTTTCAGGGACTTGAGCAGGGTGGAATAGGATCACATTTAGGTGCCAACATCCACTTAGACACCTAAGAGACAGAGAAGGATCTGTTCCCCCTATCCCCCAGTGACTAGTGGTGCTATAATTTACCTCCTTGTGAGAGTATAACTCAGTCCCTTCACAAGGGACTGAGGGCAGCCGGGCTCACTCAGAGCACAGAGGCTCAGCCAAGGGACTCACAGCCCCAGGATTTCAGAGCCCCAGCTGGCTGTGAGACTCTGAGCTGAAAATTCTCCTATGGCTCCTATGTGGTAAGGGTATGGCAGTGGTACAGGCCATTAAGTAATGTTATGGGAAAATATTAGATAGATAACAAATAACTCCTTCAAGATAGATCAAATGAAAAGGAGCACCAAAAATTAGAAACCTCTACTGCACATTACTTGTGCACAAGCTCTCCTTCTCCTCCCCTATTTTACCCTCTTCTTCCCCTTCATAGCCAGTCTACTTTCCTTTCTCTCTGAGGGATTCTTGTCCAGCCAACATCTCCTGATTACTTTATATCTAATACTTACATGCCACAAACCTTCACTGTGAAATCTGGATTAATGACCGAGATGGTTTTTGGTGCATTGATTTTAAGTTCAAACTTCGGTAAGACTGGGATGGGAAGAGAAAAAACAAAAATAAAGGTAACGATATGCAAAGACATTAGATACCTGTGTATCTGAAGCCATACAAGTGAGAGCAACTATTGTTTAGTTACTATGAACATGCAGCAGGCTGGAACTAGAGTACTCTGAACTAGGGTGTGGAAAGGGACCAGGGAAATAGCTTGACATATGGGAATCCTAATGATTAAAATTTCCCTTAGCTGTCTCAGCAAACTTGTAGAGAAATGGGTTTAATTCATTCTGAGATGCTATTCAAGGAAGGAAAAACCCTACAATGGGAATGGTATTGACACTCCTCACAGCGCCAAGGCCTGGACAAACTAGTGGGTGCTGCTGAAAGAATTGGCTTATTAGTGGTGCCAATCTCTGACCTTTTGAATTGACCTGTGTATAGGAAGCTTTTCAGAGCCCATACCTCAAGTTGTATTTTCCCTTGTCCCTTTTTACCATGTTTCTTCTCCCTCATTCCAAATGTCACATTGACTAAAGGTCTGGATTTTGATTTGGAAGTGACAGTACAAAACAGACCCCAGCAACAGAGCCCATCTCCTACCTTCAGGAGGGGGCGGAAGACAAGGGTGCATCTACACAGCAGTGACTCTGGTATAGATCTGAGCTATCTGAGTTAGCTTTAAAATAGGTAACTCAGGTACCAGCAACAGGTTATCTGTGGACACAAGGAACTTACCAGAGGCTAATTTACCTTGCTTCTGCAGTGTGGTTTGCAGGCCATTTTGAGCTATGCATTGCTGTGGCTACATGATTTCTGGCACTTTGCACTAGCTAGCTGGGTATCTTGAGTGAATAGCACATCTAGACCTTGGGCATGAGATGAGCTTGCACATGAGTTTAGGTTTCTCTTCTCTTTTGGGGATAAGGTAGAGGCTTAGTCCACTCCTGTGGGGCAAGGAAATCCAAATACATAGCTGACACTGGATAGCATCCCTGGCCCCTCTCCCTATACTGGCTGGGATACTTGAGGAGTCTGTGCATCTGACAAGTGGGGTCTGTCTCCAGCCACATCTTGCAAGAATGCACCAGGCCCTTACCATACTCCTTCACAGTGAATGTGTGTTGGATTTTATCTCCTGATCTCTTCTCCACAGTGATCTGGTAGTCCCCCAGGATCGGCTCCTTGATGAGCTGGAACATGAGCTGGACAATAGCTGTCTGAGATGTCACATCCAACCACTGGAAGATCCGATTTCCCTGTGGGTCCTGAGGACGGAGGGGACAGGGATACAAACACTGTCATGGTGGATTTCTTTTGTTAGAGGGCTGGGACTAGGAAGCCGATGTTTCTCAGAGTGGGCCCCACTTTGTGAGCAGATGCTGGGCTCTATATTTTGCCACTTAGCTAAGGCAACTAGAATCAAAGGAGCCAAGGAGAGGAGTTGTTTTCATTTCTAGATTTCACACAAATGGAAGTACTCATATTTGAAGCTTCTAGCCCCTCCCTCTCCTGATCTTGTGGTACTTTACATTTCACCTCTCTCCTATCTCTACCGTGGTGGGTGCTATAGGAAGGTGCAACCACTCATGACAGGCAGGTAAACCCTGAATTATTCTGCCTTGCTCTTTACTGCACAGTCTTCTCATTTCTCATTCTTACATAGAAAAGGGATGTTAAGGGGAAAAGATCTCCCCCCTCAACTTCATCCCTCCCTTCCAAACTACCTTCCTCCTCTTTCTGAGAGTCCCTGTCTACGGTCTTAGTTTTCTCCAGCTGTGAAGAGAGGGGAGGAGGCCGTGTGGGTGAGGGGCAGTCCGCAGCTCCCCCACCCCAATCACAGATTACAGTCTGGCCTGCTTAAATTGAGAAACTTTTTGGACATTTCCTGGCACTCTGCAGATCATTAGTCAGGAACAATGCACTGTTGAAATTTCACTGTACGCACAAAGCAATGGCTACACTCTACTGGACAAAGTGAAATCCTGCAGGCGTGCTACTTGGAGGAGGAGTGGGGCTTTTTTGCTGTTTACAAAAAAACCCACAACATGTCATATAACTGCAAGGAGCAAAGAACTGCAATGTACAAAAGCCTCTAACAATTGCATCAATTATCTAGAACTGTTCACTTCATTGCTGAATAACAAGAAAGATTTCTACACCTCCCTGCTTGCCATCTGACACCACCAGGGAAGGAATCCACTCCAGCCTGATCTGAACAAAAAAAGAGCAACTCACAAAGACACTCTCAGGGACCCAGAGGGACAGAGTTTAATCTTCAGCTTCCTCGGTGCAAAAATGAAGTTTATTTCCTACCTATGGGGACTTTTACCATCTTTAATTTTCCTTGAGCCCGACGAAGGACATGTAAGCCTGAAACCTTGCAGAATTTTTTTTTTTTTTTGTGATTTCTTAATTGGTCTAATAAAAGGTATTGTCTCTGAATCAAGAGTTCTAGATTTTTGCATTTCTAGAATTGTTCACAGATTTGAAGCTGGGCAATGTTATGCAAAATGTAAACTAAAGCAAGTCAAATAATTTACGGGAAGGAGGGGAAATAATTATACGCATATGGACAGGATAACTTTAATTGCATTTACATGCTGGTAAAGCTGGGATAGTTCCACTGAATTCCATGAGTTATTTTATATTTCTCCCAGTAAAACTGAAGGCAAATTTGGTCAGGTAAGTATATGTACACACAGACTCACACGCAGGCACATGCATACATACAAAATTTGGCTAGCTAAGCGTGCAGACATGCGAATACTTATTCTCTCCCTTTCCTCCCCCCATATACACTTTTTCTGGATTTTACCTTTATACATAAACAGTTTTAAAGACAGTGTCTTACCTGAATGGTGATCAAAGGATACTGAAAAAGAGACAGTAGGG